GGTGAGATGCAGGAGACGATGAACATTGTAAGAATTGAAAGTTGGCCTGTATAACTGTTCACTGCGAAGAACAAACTTCTCAAGAGCGACCTCAGCAATTTTAATGTAGCGAGTTGATAATGATTGCGAAATTAAAATTCGAATTGCTACATGTAAAAATAAGAAGTGGGTGTACAAATCTTCGTTCAGCACACCAAACATAACAACAGGTCCTGTGTAAAAAAGAAATTGACGGAACTCTGTCGCTTTATACTTAGGGTAGACTTCTATGAGTCTAGGACGTCGTGCAAAATCTAAGGGGCAATATTCGCACAAGATCTGCATTCTTCTAGATATTAATTCAATCTGCCTTCTTGACAATTTAGCTGAGCGAGAGTACTTGCCATGCACCCAAGCAGATAATAACTCTTTCATCACGCCAAGACATACAAAATGCATGTACTCGAACGGAACCTGAGATACCAGTCCCATTGGTATGAGGGATAAAGAACTTGAACCTCTATGATGTTCTCCATCTGCACACGTAACGTATTTGTCATCGGTACGTAGAGGGTGATGGACACCATTGAATACAGTGCGGTTTTGTACTTGTACACCACGAATCGTGCATTTGGAATAGGGTTTGTAAGACACATGTCCAAGATGGTTAAGTATGAATGCCCGAGCTAGTGCATCAGCTATAAAGCATCGTACTGTAATTGGTATCGTGTATCCATTGAAAGTAATGCCTCCAGAAGAAATAAGAAGCTTGATGTCAGTGATAACTTTGTCAAAGAAACCATTCGGATCAGATGGTTCTTGCTTACCTTTATAAATACCCAGAACGATTGGTCTGCTATTTGGTAGATTTGCAATTCTACACTGAATAGGCCAAACATGAATATAACCAGATTTGTCCAAGGCACATCCATCTGTATGCATATCTAATTGTAACTCTGTCAAGTTACTATAAGTTACATGAGAAGAGTTTACCAATTCCTTTAATATTTGAGATTGTACATTGAAATGAATATATTCTCCTGGTGGTACAACCGAGATAACAATACTGCCACGGGCTGTACCAAGAAGCGTTCGAACATCTTTTGGCAAACTTAATAAGGAAGACATTGTAACATGAGGACAACTCGAAGCTTCTGAACGTAATAGAGATAGCAAATTATTGCCCTGGGCATGAGTTAAATTATTATCTACTATATATGAAGCTAAACGTTCACGGAAAGAAGGTTGAAATGAAGAACTTAATGAATCATCTGAATTCTTCGAAGCATTTGAAGAAATGGAACACTCTACCTCTGAAGCAGGTGGACAAATTGATGCAGCATCCGGCATATCCACATCCTCTACGATCTCCTCATGGGTACAAACAGCAGTGAACGATGAAGAAGGATTAGCAGAAGTAGACGGAACAGCTTGCGTATCATCGATGATGCGGGTTGAATTCTCATTATTCGCATTCTGCGAACAATACTGCAGTCTCGCATGTTCAAGGATTTTACGTCTTATCCTACGCTTCTGCCTATCTGATAATTTATTCACTGGTTT